ATATATACATACATATATATAACTAGGTTAATTAGGTTAACTTGGCAATTTAGCTAAATTAGGCAAGTTATTGTATCATGATGGTTTGATCTGTAGACTACCGAAAAAAACTGCTTAAAGGGGCAAATAATTTTGTCCTTAAAATGGTGTTTAAAAATTAAAAAACGCTTTTATTCTAGCTGAAATAAAACAAATAAGACTTTCTTTAGAAGAAAAAATATCAACAGACATACTGTGAAAATTCCTTGCTCTGTTAAACAGCATTCGGGAAATATTTAAAAAAGAAAGAAAAATTAAAAGGAGGGCTAATAATTCTGACTTCAACTGTGTATATATATATAAAATGTGTGTGTGTGTGTGTGTGTGTGTGTGTGTGTATTTTGCATTTTTAAAACCGAGCAGTGTTATCAGCAACGTTAAGGCAACATACAGGAAACAAATATAACCACATTTATTTTGATAGTATAAAATATTACACTAAAAAGGCCACTTTGCAAGGGTCAATAAACAACTTTTCAAATATGTACACAGTTACTTCCTTTTCCCTCATAGATATCATCCAGCTCTGTGGCAAACAAAAATGTCTTTGTCTCACATGACCACGGAAAGCAGTTGGCAAGAGTTTCAAATAATTTAACTTAAGAGAAGAAAATAAATGGCAGGAGTTTTAAATGTTCCTGATTTTCTTTTTGTACATCATTTAGAGGCATCAGGATTTCTGGATGGTTTAAACTAAGATGGTTTAGCCGGTGATGAGGCACAGTTTGACATCGAATTGATAGGCACTATATGCCCTTAAACTGAGAGGCTTTAGAAAAAATGCAGTTCACATTCTTTGTAATGGCACCAGGCGAGCCTCTGGAGCTTTATCTTGTAAAGTAAGGGTGCTTTCATACTTGTAAATCGATTCAGTTGTTCCGAAACAGAGATTACAATTGTTACATTATTACTCTTTGCTTTTGGAGCGGTTCGCTTTCACATTGCAAAGTTTCTAATCGGACCAAAAGAGCTAAAACAAGTCACGTGCGAGTAAACTCTCCTCACATTGGTCAGAGTGTCAGGGTTTATTTTGCAGCGTCCAGCTAAGCTGTCAGGAGAGGTGGTGGTTTAATGGTAATTGACAGGGTGCGCGCGCGATTTGTCTAAGGAGAGATGCGGTGGGGAGGGGTGAGAAGGGTGCACGATACACATTCCGAAACAAAAGTGTAGGTGTGAAAGCACCCTAAGTCTCCAATATTAGTTTGAGATGACAAGCAAGTTTTACTTACTGAAATTTTGCACTTTTAGGGTGCTTTCACACCTGTGAATCGATTCAGTTGTTCCGAAACAGGGATTACAAATGTTACATTGTTGCTCTTTGCTCTTGGAGCGGTTCGCTGTCACACTGCAAAGTTTCTAATCGAACCAAAAGAGCTAAAACAAGTCACGTGCGAGTAAACTCTCCTCACATTGGTCAAAGTGTCAGGGTTTATTTTGCAGTGTCCCGCTCAGCTGTCAGGAGAGGAGGAGGTTTGTTGGTGATTGACAGGGTGCGCGCGCACGCGCGACGTGTCTGAGGAGAGATCCGGTGGGGAGGGGTGCGCGACGATGCCTCTTTGAGGACTAGGAGAGAGACGCGAGATTACCGTGAGATCATCACTCGTTTGCGGGCATCCGGAGACTCGCAAAACTTCCCGCCATACTCATAATTCTCTCTTTATATAGCCGTATGCCTATTACATATCTATAAAACACTGTGATATAACCGCGCTCGGATCGGATCGCTTTCTCGCTGCAATCGAACTGCTCCAGGGTTAGTTTCAATCGAGCCGAGACCACCTCATTCAATTGATCTAGGAGCGATTACTTTGGCGAGGAACAGAGCGCGATTGCCCTGTTCACATATGCCAAACGAACCGCGCTAACTGGGCAAACGAGACAGGTTCCGAAACAAAAGTGTAGGTGTGAAAGCACCCTAAGTCATTTCATTACTCTGTCTACTTGTGTGCATGTACGTTCATACAGTATCCATACAACATAGTGGGTACTGTGTCAGACTGAGGTAGAACTGTTGTACCAAAAACATAGCTAGAATTTTAAACCTATGAAGTAACAGTCACATCAAATCAACTCTATAGAGTGGATTTAAAAAGCAAACTAAAGCAATAAATTCACATCCAACCACATCTACAAAAGAGATTACTAACACACTGGAATATCTGAAGTGATCCCAGAAAAAATATTCCTCCTTTTCCCCTTCCCTTTCTGAAGAAATAGGCTGCTTTATTTTTTTCCTAGATTTGCTTTTTCACATACACCAGCCTCTAGAGCAGGAGTTCCTGGAGGGCCGCAGCCCTATACAGTTTAGTTCCAACCTTGCTCAACATACTTACCTGTAGGTTTCAAACCAGCCTGAAAGACACAATTAGTTTGATCAGGTGTGTTTAATTAGGGTTGGAATTAAACTGTGCAGAGCTGTAGCCCACCAGGAATTGAGTTTGACACCTGTGCTCTAGAGGATAATTTTCCTCATTCTTTGCTTTGAGAGGAAACCATCTGAAAAAGTAAAGTATGAAGGTAAGACAAGGTCACAAAACCTTTCTAAACCTCCTGCCCCAACACATGCAGACACATAAACAACTACATCTCGCTCTGCAGTATAAAAGAAGGAGAATAAATGCTGACGTACACATCGGACAAACAAAGATCACACTCTAACACTTTTCAGTTCTAAGCTGAATGTGTCACTGTTTTGCAGAGCTATGCTGAACTCCTGCTGCATTCTGCTCTGCTTCCCAAAGCTAAAAGGGAGGCAGCAACTTAGCTGGAGTTGGGGGAATTCCAGACCAGCTGGGGGCAGTCATGCTCTAGCCAGACTCTGATCTCCCAGAGCCCTCACACAGCACTAAGATCATGCACTGGCAATACTACCTAAACCCATAGGGCCTTTCTGGGTAATGATACTTTCTGTGGATTTAAGAAGTCTCTCAAGGCATGGTGCGTTGATCTTGGCTAGAGGTGGTCGACTAGGAGCCGACTTCGTCTTAGACAGATGGTCTGTGCTGGAGGACACAGAATTGTCTTGTGTCATGTCCCTGTCCTTGTGGGCTGTTAGACAGTTCTGAATTGTCCGCTGAGGCTGTTTAGCTGTTAGGGAGCATATAGGAGATGTGTGGAGCCATTTAAGGTTGGTTGTAGAGTAGGGTCCAGGGGGAGTGAGATGGCAGACTCTCATTGCTTTGTTACCCATAGAAAGGGCACTTGTGGTTGCAGGGTTTGCAATTTCAGTGAGCAGGGGAGATGTAGCTGGAGACAACTGAAATGTATTGAAAGAGAAATAATAAGAAAAGATTTCTGCTTTCAGAGGCAATCATTCTAAAGGATTTGTATACACACACACACACACACACACACACACACACACACACACACACACACACTGTGTGTGTATTATGCCACATGTTAGAAAAATAACCTTACATAATTCCATTGATCAGAAACTATTATTATAAGAGACTTTACATGTATTATTTTAGCAGACACTTTTCCAAAACAGCCCTCTTTTGTAAAAGGTATAAAAAAAATTTAACTTTAAAGGGGTGGTCAATACTATATTTTTAAGGGTTGATTGCGTTTATAAGATGCAAAGCAATGTGAGCTCATGCTTCATTTGTAAAAAATATATATATATATATATATATATATATATATATATATATATATATATACCCCTTTAAAAATAAATAAACATAAAACTTTTTAAGTTCCTTTATGGTGACAATTATCTTTCCTGTAAACCAGTTATCTTTTTCTCAGTGTTCTAGGCAAACATGAAATGTGTATATTATACCTCTACAAAATTTAAATATAGATGTCAATCCTTTTTTGTTCCTTTCTGGTCCAGTAATAACATTATAATGTGTTCGTTAATTGTTACTTTTCAATCAGACTATAGTATTACAAATGTTTAAAACAGCTCTTAGAGAGATTTACCTTGGATTTCTTAGATGGTTTTGTCTCCTCCATCAGCACTGCAGTATTGGCTTGGTCATTTTGTTGAGGTTTTATATTAGGGAACCAACTTTTCAACATTTCCTCCATTTTCAGAATGATACTGACATATCTCTCTCTGTATGGCACAGGAAACACAATTTTTTAAGCATGTTGGTTAAGATGAGTCTGACATGACTAAAAATTAGAGTCTAATGTTTTGTAACCTAATTTTGTGTCAGGCAAATTCAAAGAAAACAACCATAAATAAACAATCATTTGGACACAAAACATGCATTTGGACACAAAATCCAGTTTTCAAAATTAGTACAGTTCTGGTGTTGATTCACACATTTTTTCACATACATAACATCGAGTGCAACCTTTTTCCTTACTTCTAAATATAGACATAATCCTGTAGCGTGGCACTGGTGCTTACGTCACAGAGAAAATAAATAGTTGCACTAAGGAGCAGTGATGCAGACACATGCACACATGCCCATTGACTCTCACCAGCCCCCAACAGATGGTTAATGGGGATTAGTGCAAAGCACATGGCCATAGTATCTGCTACAGCACCCTTCTCTGTATTCTAAATATAAGTGTAAACTGCCATAAAAGGGATTACTGACATTTCTTTATTTCTGATGTGCTTTAGAATTAAGGAACTTTCTAGCTAGAATGGTGAAATTAATGAAAAATGAACAGGTAATGGCAAGTAAACTTAGTAATGGCTTGACTAAGAGCTTTAGTCAGAAACCCTAAATTTAAGGACCCCACCAAAAACTTTCTCTATTTTTCAAGGAACTGAATATCCACTTCAGGCATGTTTTATGCCATGAAGCACAGATTTAAACCATATGGGGGAGGGGGAGATATTGTAACGTAAAAATGTTGACTAATAGTGCTTTTACACCTGTGAACTGATTCAGTTGTTCCGAAACAAAGATTACTGTTGTTACATTGTTGCTCTTTGCTCTTGGTGCAGTTCGTTTTCACACGGCAAAATTTCTAAATGGACCAAAAGAGCTTAAACAAGTCATGTGTGAGTAAACTCTCCTCACATTGGTCAGAGTTTCAGTTTTTTTGCAGAGTCCCGCTCAGCTGTCAGGTGGTGGTTTGGTGGTGTTTGACAAGGTGCGCGCGACGTGTCTGAAGAGCGAGGAGGGATGCGGTGGGGAGGGGTGAGAACGGTGTGTGACGTATTTGAGGACCGGGAGAAGACGTGCGTTTTCTGGGTGATTATCACTCATTTCTCTGTGCATTTGCGGGAGACTTTCCGGTAGACAGTATGTCTGGAATGATCTCCCGCCCTAATCATTATTCTCTCTTCATATACCCGTATGCCCATTACATATCCATAAAACACTGTGATATAACTGGGCTCGGATCGTATCGCTTTCTCACTACAATCTATGAGCTCCAGAGTGCATTTTAATTGAGCCGAGACCACCTCATTCAAGCAATCTCGGAGTGATGATTTGGCGCGGATCCTAGCGCGATTGCTGGATTCACATTTGCCAAATGAACTGCGCTTACTGGACATGCTTACGAGACATGTTCCAAAACAAAAGTCTAGGTGTGAAAGCACCCCAAGAAAATGTGGATTAAAAAGAACTACTACACCTGTGGTGTAAAGTAACTAATTACAAATACTCAGATTACTGTAATTTGAGTAGTTTTTCTTAGAAATTGTAATTTACAAAGCAGTTTTAAAAACGTGTACTTTTACTTTCCCTTGAGTACATTTTCATTGCTGTATCTGTATTTTACTCCACTACTTTCCTTTAATCTGCATCACTACTTTATTTTTTCTTGTCTATGGGGATTAGAAAAATCAGTCCTGTGATTCCGGTCCAATCAAATCGCACATAGAAGGTAAATCGCATCATAATGACTACCTGAAGACATGGCCGTTTATAATTGAAGCAAACTGTTTGGAAGCACTAAAATATCCAAGAAGATCTTTCGTAGCATTGACCTAGAGACATTAGATGCATGGCACTGATGAGAAGACGGATGTTTACTGTATGATGACCGAAATGGCCTTAAACAGCCAGCAGTCACAAAACGTCACCATGACATCAAATTGACATTGTATCTTAACATCATGGGGACATTGCATTTTTTTAGACATTAAAATCGGGTTGACGTCAGAACTCAATGTCAGGCCATCATCAATGTCTAATGTACTAAAACCAACCAAATATCAACATCTAATGATGTTACAGCTTAACGTTGTGTGGACGTTGCCACAATGATGTCTATCAGATGTTGGATTTTGGTTGCCATACCTGATGAATAAATTTGAAGTCAAAATGATGTTGGCTCAACATTGTATTTTTGGTCTAACACAACCAAATATCAGTCACTTGACATCATTACTAGAAATCAAAATAACATTGTTCTTAGACGCTGGATAGACATTGAATTTTGATCACCTAACGCCACAACCTGAATCTAACCTAATATTAACGTCTTATGACATTGTGTGCCTACTGGGCAATAGCCCCTTTCACACACACCTTTCTGGAAAATTACCGGCAATTTTCCGGAAAGGTGTGTATGTGTGAACTGGCCCTTTTTGAAAATACTGTTAAATACTATTTTAAAATATATATTTTTTAAATATATTTTCTGGAAAAAGAAGTTGTAACATTACCGGTAATTTGCTGGAATGCTGCACTGTGTGAACGCAAAAGGAAGATTGCCGGAAAGAGCGCATGAACGTCTAGAACGTGCTGATGTGAGACGTCTTTAAACAATGATTTAGCCAATCAGAACAGTCAGACGCATTCATGTCCGCGCGGTTTATGAGAATAAAAGCCTTTGAATATTTTTCCAGACACATTCAGCTGCTAGAAATTAGGCAGATAACGTTTATATGTTCATCTTATCGCCAACCGTGTAATTAATTATCAATAGGATGCTTATGATAAGCCGTTGTTTGTTTACCTTCAAGCTTTGCATGTGCCCATGAAACAGCCTGTGAGCGCCAGCACACACACATATCATTAACATCTCGACATGCGAAAGTGTTTCTCTATATATTTTCATTGAAGTTGTTCACAATACTGATCCATCCACAGAATTTGTGATGTAATCAAATGTTTACAAAATACAAGCGTAGCCATTTAGAGCTCATTTCTGGTTAATGATGTCAGAATTTACCTGTATTTTGGAATGGATGTGTGAATGCTCTTTTCTGGAAAAATTCCATAACGTCCTCGCCTCTGTGAACAGCGCTTTTTTAAATTTACCAGTTAAGTCGTTCCAGATATTTTCCATATATTTACCAGTATCACTGTGTAAAAAAGGGCTAAAACCTCAATGCACTACAGAATGTTACATTTGCAAACACACATGTACAAATTACATGTACACACATCAGCTTTTCACAGCATTATACTTTTAAAAAAAGGGCTACTTTTTACTCATACGTTGAGTAATATTTACAACAGATACTTTTACTCTATTTACACGACATTTTTAGGCAACTAATGGTACTTTTACTTGAGTATGATTTTTCACTACTCTTTCCACCACTGCTAACACACTTGGATGTATCCCAAAGTACACCAACAGTCTGGATAATCAAGACTTTGCACTTACAAGTGAATATTAGACTTGGGCATTGGCTTAAGCAGATTTGGTCTGTATGCAAGGTGCTATTATAAGAAAGTAAACAATGCACCAGTCTGACTCATTATGAGGTCATTAGAAGCACTGACTCCTAAACATGACATCACAAAACTTCCTCAGACAAAGCAGATTAGACAGCATAAAATTAATTTGCAAATGACATGTGTGAATTTAATGCTGACTTGTCAGTTCTGTGCACAAATGCTAAGGCGCAGAAACAAAATTCCTCCACAAGGATGAAAGTAGTAGATAGTGGAACACATTTTTGCAAAATAACAACATCCATCTGATCAAATTACAGTGGAGTGATTTGTGGACTAAAGCACTCTCACTCTCAAGCCCCGTTTACTCTAATGCATTTTAGTTTGAAAACGCATAAGTTTTGCTACGTTTACGCCATCCGTCCACACTACGCCCGAGTTTTCGAGCGCCGAAAGCAGAGCGTTTTGGAAACGCTAAAGAGGCCGTTTTCATTCTAAAACGCTGGTGCTCCGTCTCAGTGTGGATGAGTAAAAACAGAGACATCTGAAAACGGAGGCGGGGCTGCCGACATTCACCTATCTGATTGGGGCTTTTCCTCAATATTAAGTAGCCTACACACACAGTTCAGTCCTGCATCCTCTCCTTGTAAATTTAGACTTCGCAAGTTTGAACAAGGCTGCAGTCTCCCCCTCCTCAGTTTGATAGGGATAACAGACTACCGAGGACACGGGTAAATCTTCAAAGGGAACAGTGTACTTTATAACTTCATTCACATCACCTTGGCTACATTGTTTCACTTTCTCAACAATAAAATTAAAACATGATTTAAGGAACTGTCTATTTTCATTTTAATATTAGCAACTTAACAGACAGCAGAAATGTTGTGGCGTCGTGCTGCATATATGAGCGTCATCTTTACTGTGTGGATATTTATAACAAAACGGAGCCTATAGAACCGCTATATATTTTTTACATAATGCTTACAGCATATTATAACAGCTCGTCACCCAGTGACAAGCACAGTGATTAAGCAAAATTAATGTTAAAGTGAGCGGCATTCTTCTGACAGCTCCGATTGCGATAGCACCCTCCCAATAAATATTGGATAAGACGAAATGACCAAGCATCCAGCCCGAAATATACAATCTCAATGAAGCTCCGAGTGATTTTACAAGAGAGAAGTTAAAGGTCTACAAGTCTTTGGATGCCAACAATGTTGTTCTTTGAGGTCATGTGCAATATATATTGCTCCATGATGACCAGATTCAAAAGCTAAACACAGAGATTCCGCCAAGCCAAAGACAAGGAAACAAGACGGAGCTAACGTTATACAAGGCCTGGGTAATTAATCACAAACACGCAAAACGACTTCATTCTGACAGTGAACTTCACCTGTACGGCAGGGTATGTGAACCTACACATAAAGATAAAGTTGGTTTTATATTCGCACATTCAGACTTTCTCCTTAATAATTTAATTTCATAAAAATACTATTTGCAAACTCTAAATAGCGAAATCATATTAGTAACAGCTAATGACTATCAAAGTACAAGTTGTCACTGAATGAATGTGTGAATATAAAATTAAGTTTACCTTAATAAACGTTACTTTCACGTTTCATTCTTAGCATTCAGTGTCAGCAGTTTAATTAACCATATGTAACTGTTTTTGCTGAAATCATTTCTGCAATCAAAAACGAGTAATGAGTATGATTTAGCATAGCGTGAACTGACCTGATATGACATGAGAACTGCAGAGTCCAGCATTTCTAATTAGCTCCTCACTTCATTCAGCTCCCATTTAGCCAAAGACATCTGCAGTCGGTATTAAAGCAGTGTGTGGTGTATGGTAAAAGTTAAGTTTTTTATTTTTGGACTCGAATTCAGCATGCTACCACAAAACACAACATCTTTCCCATTGTAGCCTGTCTGATTTTTGCAACCGGGGACCCGTGTGACGTCATGTGTGAAGTAGGTTGATAATTGGTCTATAACTACTGCCTCCTTTCAATTTCAGTGAAAATACGAAACACCCTCTCTTCTGCTGAATATATTTTAATAATTGATAATGGCCATTATAAAAGTATAACATACAATAAGTTTATACATTATAGGAAATAAAGGCATGCGATCAGTCAATATACAAAATGTAGGCTACGTGGTTACATTAATCATTAACTTATCTTTGCGCTTAGCCAAAACACGTTACCTGAGAACAAGTAATAGATTCCAATGACCAAAGTCAGGGAATATGTCGTTAGATAAAGACAACAAAATGAATAAAATGTCACGTTTAATAAATATAGTGAGATTACATCCAGCGGAAGATGCTTGATGAGCAGTCAGACCAGCACAGCTCTCATCTGGGTAGATGGGCTGCAGCGCTTGCCCGAGAGTGTGTGTGGTCACGTGATGTGCGTTTTCAGCATTTTGGTGTGGACGAAGAGCCGTTCAGAAACGCTAGGTAAAATGCAAGTGTGGACGCGGATCATTTTCATTCTAAAATGCCATTTTAAAACTAAACTGCACTAGTGTAAACGGGGCCTCAGGCGGTCCATGAGTGAGGTTAAGAGAAACAGTTAAGAACTTACCCCATGCAAGGATTTTGCAGGACCCCCATTATCCTCTGGATGCGGTCCATGGCCACACTCTCTTGAAAAGTGCTGAGGCCTGTGAAAGTAAAAGATAATGCTTAAAGCTTTTTATTTCACAAGCAACGGACAGGCTGTGCCATGTGTGCAAGGCAGATGGGTTCTTGTGAAGCATGTGGGAAGATAGACTTGCTGTCTCTGTGGCCAGGAAGTCTGGTGTCAACCAGTGTCCTTGTATTGACAGCATTACCAGTCCAAGCACTTGTGAGCAGCTCTACACGTCTTTTTTTTTTTTTTGTAGAGTTTTACCCAAAAACCTGTTTTGTACTCAATACTGCTAATAACATCTTGTGGTGCTTTACAGTCATTTTAAGATCAAGCAACTTTTCTGCATATCTCATAGTCACAATGCAACTAATAATACATATAAATAAAAATGCTATGACAAATGACAGTCAATTAACCAAAATATTATGTGGATTTCATACCATCTTTCTAGGCAATTTTTTGAATAAAGTCAGATTCAGTAAAATATAAGACTAATAGGAACAAATATAAAGATTACTCACGTTCTCTGTATCTGCCTGATCGGAGACCATTAAGGATTGAGGACAGAGGGTGAATGTAACACTGTAGCTCCAAGCACTGCAAAACAAAGAGAATCAATTGGTATTCCATCTCCTTTTGCGCCATTACTTGTTATTTTAGCTTTACAGAATTTGTATTTCTCAATTTCCATTTTTTTCATTTCAGGATGTTGACAGTACACTTTGCCATTATCCATTAACAAACAAAATCAACATTATCAAGTTAAGACATTCCTTTGATTGGTTCATAATTTCTTCAAAACAAAAACACTAATGCAAAACAAAACAAATAATCTTCTCTGTCACACATTTGTGTAAAAAAAAAAGAATTATTGCAGCTCTACAGGGCAGGGGAAAACACAAATCTTCTCTAATCTAAATGGCTTTGTGTGACTCACTTTTCACCTAGAAAGAACACAGAGGAGGGGTCTTCCTGGAAGTGTTTCTGTTTCTAGATTTTTTTTTTTAATTTACTCTGCTCGGTGAGATAGATTATATAGAAGATAAGGGGACTTTCAGAACACCACGTCTCTTTCCTGGCATGTTGGTTAGCCAAAAAAGTGGCACGTCTCACCTTGCATGCAAACAGTCTGTCTTTCTCCATTTGTTCAGGTGTAAGCAGCCTCTCCCTTTGCTCCAGCACCATGTAACTCCGTGTTCTCTTCTGTGCCTGTCTATTTTTGTCTATAGAGCTCTCAGGGCACCATCTGTAATTTGTTTGTTTCTCTTGTCCCAGGTGAAAATAGCCACCATCCTTGATGTAGTAAGAACTATCACAGCTGGAAGAAAAACTTTCCTGATAGCTCAAGCTTTCATTGTCCATCACCTCACCTGTATCTCCATTCCTTGTTAAGAGTGTCTGGTAAGTCTGGGGCAGCTGGATAACCCCTGGGGAGGGGAATTTTGGTATGGTAGTTTGTCCCTGTGTTGTGGTACAATCTGATTCTAATTCGCTATCATGGTCCTCATCATCACTAGCCAGCCAGTCAATGGAATAGTCCGAATCTGAAGCTGACATCTTATGATGCAAGGTCTAACCAGCACAGACCATCACTGACCTATAAAAAAAAAAAAATCTTTGTAATTTCAATATATAGTTTTGGCTTAATTTATTTATAGAAATGTTGATAATAAACAAAACAACATTACACAATAAAGATTGTGCTTGTGTAAAACTGTTTAATTGTAATTTGATATTCACACTCTATTGTATGCAGTGGCAGGAATGTAAGAAGGCAGCATTTATTTATTTACAAATAAAAAAGATTAAGCTTAAACACTTTACAGTCTGTTTAGCATAAATTTTACTCTTCATTGCAAATGCAAATTGTTTATTTTGACTGCATCTAACTAAAAACAACACTTGTAAATGTAGGTACACATACATTTTTTGTGTTAAAGCAGGTGACAAAACCCACATACAGAGTCCCACTTGTTTATTCAGTGTGACTTGCTACAGACTTGCATGTTGCAGGCATGGTGGTCACAGAACACAGGCCTTAGAACGAAGTTCTTTTTGATATTGCCATTGCTTCTGCAGATATTTTTTTCTGCTTGCATTACTTCATCAGTTATTTAAAACTCATAATAAACATACCCCGAGGAACACATACAAAATGAATTTGTACAAAATTATTTTTAACAAGAGTATGTTAAAAAATGCATTTGTTACACACAAACAAATGCTCTGTGCTCCTGAAGAGGTGAGCATTATGCATCTTAGAAAATGAATACTCCATAAACTGAATAAAAAAAAAATATTTGTCAAAGTTATATAAATTATGTAAAGTATTACTTGATACTAAAATCTAGTTTTTAATTAGACCTAATACTACACATAACATTTCATCAAATGATCAACAGATTGCCAACAGAAATATTATATTATTTTATAACTTTTGCAGCTATTAGACTCATTTTCTATTTAATTATAATGTTTAAATACTGTGTTTTAGTGACATTTTATTGCTGGATTAGCTTTTCGAATGGTCACACTTGGATGTACCAAAACATTTTCTAAAGATTTGGAATAAAGAAAAATAAAAAATAGGCTACTAACTTTTAAAACACAAATTCACTATATCAGGGGTGTGAATTAAAAACTGTAGAATGCAGTTTTTAAATAATAATAATAATAATAATAATAATAATAATGAAGAGCTTTGTGACTTTTTCTAGCCTCTCCTTTAAAAAAGTACCTTTGAAAACAACAACAGCCTAGTAAGTATTATGATATGGGCCACCTTTGGTGCTTAAAATAAGGTACAAGATTTAGAATAAAAGTGACTTGTAAAATGTTTTATTTAACAATACCACAATAATATTCAACTTTACTTGCATCAGATTCCACTTGGTCTTAAAGCCTTTTTCGATGGGATATTTTGATAATTTATGATGGCACAACAGTCAAAATAGGACAAATAAGCTAATGTAAACATATGTACAAATAAGCTAATGTATATACATGTAACAAATACTGGACCTTTGTCAGTAGGGGGTTGGGTCTTTTGAACCAAACCACCAAGGGTACGGACCTGTTTATTTGTCCATTCCTGGTCGGTATGGCTGTAAACAAATGGACTGCTGAACAAGAGTTCTTCCCTGCCAATAAAGCGCATTATGTAATAGCTTTAACTTTACCTCAAGCACGGGACTAATTGGCTTTAGAACGGTAACAAAGATCAGCTTTTCTAAATGGGTTTAATTGCTGACCAGTCTTTTTCTGTTTTCACCAAAAAAATGTTCTAGCAAGATAGCACGACTACCGCTAGCAAACGAACTATATATCATATCTATAAAGTGCACAACGTTACATCAGATCAAGTTTGTATAAAAAACTAGTTAGATAAAGTATTGAGAAAATCTTTATTAGTTTGAAGAAACAGAAAAAAACTACAAAACATTGAAATGTTTATTTTCTCACCATTTACGTTTGCTTACTATTGTTAACGTAGAGAGCAAATAATGAACGTGACTATAAAGTTTAACGTTTTTTTGTGGAACAACAAGACGACGTGTTTCGAGTACGCCCCGTAAATAAATATCGGTTGCTATGAGCAACATGTGTACCAATAAAGCGACTGGAGAATAAATTTACCTGTCTGATAATAAGGGTGGGGCCCTGACAATGACTACTTCAATGCACTCTTCCATGACGAAATCATCGTGGTTTGGGCCTATTCAACGTATTACAGAATTTGTTCAATATTCTAGTGAATAAGTGAATAAGTTACAAGTACGAAACGGAGACGATTGCAGTCACGGACTAGGTATTTCTAAATACCTGCTTGACAAATTCACCAATCGAATTGGATACATTAATACATTAAATAGATTAGTAAATATGAACTCAGTTTAACATTAAATCATAAAACAAATAATATAATGCACAATTTTCTTCCTTATACAAAAGGCGGATGCCTCAATCAAGCAGCGCCATTTTCTAATAAACAAATACATTTAGAGAGTTAATATAGAGTGTTGATCCTACCTCAAGCCAGAGAGGACGAATAGTCACTCTATCCTTTGTTTTCAATAAGAATATCCACAGGCAACTTGATCGAGAATCTGATGAGGTGTACGTGGTTTTAGTGATGTAGCCCTGCAGTTGTGTGGCCCCGTGTTACTTCTCCCAAGGCAACGTGTCTGTGAGGGCGGTACAACAACGCTGGGCTTTCCGATTTGTGCGTCCAGATCTGAATCTGGCAAATAGAGTTTGCGTTGAAAGCGAGCTTCTGCTGATAGGAGAGACAAGCCTACATATTTAAATAATATGTAAATTTACAAAACACGTGGACACGCGGATCTGTTTCATTCTAGCAGGCGGACAGAATGTCAACGCCGAGGGAATTTTATTCAGTTTTTTTAAATACATGTTGTACGTCATCGCTCGAATGGGATGACGCAAGCGAAGCAGACTCCAGCTTCTATGTTAGTGTTATGTTGGTTTAATTAAGTAAGACTTTTATTCGATTGTGTTACGGCTGGAGTGTGAATTCTTGGGGATTTTAGAAGGGTTACCGCAACCCCACAAGGGGGTATAAAGTTAGTAAAAAAAATACGTGTATTTTCACATTTATAATCATTTCAGAAGATTCTAATCTAAAGATAACGAATTAAGAGCAAATATTTCCTTTTGCAGGATCCCAGATTTGCCATTTCTCTTCTCAGATACGTTTCGGAAGGTAGGCTATGTTGAAAAGTAATGACAGTTGTCTTGTATCAGTTTATTTACAATCGTTTTGCTTATAATTAATTTATATAAAAATTAGTTTATAGGCTATATTAGATATTTTGATAAATGACATTTGGATAAAAAAAAAAAAAAACATTTGCATGCACCACAAGACAGCAGCACATGTGTCTAAAGAGCAATTCAATGTGCACATTGCTGTAGTGATTCTCTGTTGCATTGGATAAACATTATCCTTATGTGCCCCAGACCAAACTGAATGAGTGAGGCTGAGACCATTCTCTGTTTTGTGTCAGTTGCACACGTGATGCCTTTACAGTTGTGTTGTATTTACACAGGTTGTGGAATTTTCATGGTAAGGAGGTAGAAGGAAAAACGTACTGAAGTGGTTCATTTACTGAGCAAAGAATGTTGCACCTTCTCTAAACACCCACAGCAGGTGAAGTTTTGTTCCTATATTCCATCCCATATTGCTCAGTGCACTTTTGTTATTTAAAACACAGGCTGGTCTGCATCACTGAGATTTTCATGCTCATGCCATTGTGGAGAGCAAATTGTTGAATATGATATTGATGGATCCAATGATCCAGTAAGCACTAAAATTAACTAAAGTCGTACATAATTTAATAGGTGTCTTTTTTGTTTGTTTGTTTGCAAGTGGGGGGGGGGGGGGTATACTTGTTGGAGTACAGACAAATATTCAATGCCTGGATCCAATGAGTCAAAGTACACCTCCCCGGAAACCGTGAGCACTTGTTGGAAAAAAAAGAAAGAGAAAAATTTGCTCTTCTCTCATTCTCTGATTGTATTTAACAAACCTGGAGATTTTTGTTTGACGTGGAAGCTAAATAAAATTATAAAAACATCATAATAAAAGCTCTATTTCATAGGTCAGTTAAGATTACTTTATTTATACTCGAAGGTAGATTTGGTTTGCAGTCAAGAGTCTTCATCTCACAACAGTGCCACTCAAAAAAGCTCACATAACAACAACAAATGGACATAAAACAGTGTGTACTCGGTTTTTCTTCAGACCTAACAAAATTTTTGTAAATTTTCATCCCAATTGATGTTAAGGCAATGGGTCTATATATATATATACCTAAATTGATATAAGTTTTTTCTACTCTTTGTATAGACCACTGATCTGTAACTGTCTATTTTAATTATAGAGGTTATATAGGCTATACAAAATGTAGAATATATGGCATAGGGCATTTGATATAAAAACAAAATAACAGATCAAAGTTTATTGTGTCCCAGACAAAAATGTGAAATTATGCCTACATTTTGTAAAATTCTATGAGAATAGGAAATTGTGTAATAATGAGCAAGACTGAGCAATTTTGTTGCATTTCATTTTAAGATGCGCCCACCAAAAATTAAGAGCAACGATAGTTTAAATTTTACTATAACAGATTAATTGCATTTGAAAGCAACACTAAAATATATATATACATATAAAATAAATAAAAATAAAAACACATAATCTGCATGCACCCACCATCCCTGCATGCACTGCTGGACATGAATGAGATCAACTGGATTGATGATAATCTAACTACATTGTTATGGATGTTGTCTGATATTGCACAGATGATATTGGCATATAACTTATTATTTGCACACATCATGTTAGCCACAATGCGTTTTTTTTTTCTTCATGAGTTGCAATATTAGTATAATCCTATTGAATGCAAGCCCTTTTGCAATGGTGTATGCAGTGTAAATTTTCGATTTAGCTGCCACTTTTAGGGTTGACAGCATCTTGACGATTAAATGAAGTATTAACCTCTCCCACTTAAATTGTGTAGATGTGTGTGACTGTCTTGCCTGGGCTGTCTTTTTACTGTTCAATGGAGACAGTGTGTGTTAATAGTTTCTGGTTAATAAAGAAAATAACCATTTCCACAGCAATGCCTCATTAACTCTATTACCCCACGCACACTGTAGATGGCGTTGTCCCTATTTAAGCATAAATTTAATATACTTTACTCCATTACATGTGGCAAACGCTGTTACCGGCAAACTCTGTCCCATAGGCTTTACAGGGAATGTGTTTAGATATTTTTTACAGAGGACTTCAAGTCACTGGAGGTCTTATAACCTTTATTTAACCAGGTAAGTCAATTAAGAACCAGTTCTCATTTACAAGGATGACCTGGCCAAGAGGCAACATAAAAAACAGATACAGTACAAAACAGCAGAAACACTATACAATAACAATTTTACAAATGCAGATAATAACATATAAAACTAAGGTCTCTTCAGATGGCGAATTACAAATTCCCCTATGGTCATTATCAGAAGCACCATTATTTGTAAGTTTGGGTGTTTTTTTAAAACAAAATATGTCACTTCTATTTTTGTCATTCTGTCATCTTCAACCTTTAATATCATCTACTCCATTGTAAACATGCACTTGATTGACATGCATGTTAGTTCTAGAGCAGTGGGCCAATCAGAAAAGCTTGAAGTTTGGGGCAAACATTGCAGGCTTTTGTTTACTGTTTAGAAGTTGACATGTCAACTGTTTTAAACTGTTTAGTTTTTTTTTTTTAGATGCAAAGACCCATTCACTGTGAATGGGTCAATATCACTATAAAGTGCATTTGATGTCCCACAAGATTGAGTCAGTCCTATATGTACATATTGTGAAATAACTAAATTCTGGTGTTTTAATATAATTGGTTAAACCTCTACACACATTGCTCAGCCAACTTCAGTGAGTCTAAAAAGTAGCTAAATAAGATAAAATGAAAAAAAGATTTTTTAAACCGTTCTTATATTCTTTGACAAGTTATTTGATAAAATAGGTAAATTTAATAACTTTTGTTTTTATAATATTACTAATCATTTTGCATGTGTCCTTGAGTTTGCTGTCAACCCTGACATAATGTGGTAAATGCCCCTTTAAGAAACCCTCTGATATACTCATTGGCATCCTCATGCCCATTTTGCCTTTCTTCAGAGGAGGTTAAAACATCTGATGTGAACACATTAAGTATCACTCATGTTTCCTATTTCCTCATATTGTATTTGAAACTGAATGTTGTCAAGCTAAACATTTCCACCCTGTCCACCTTTTAGCAATATCTGTCTCAGTCTATTGGATATCATTTTTAAGTCTATATAATGAATCTCATTAACTGTTTGAAATAAAACTACAGCCGTTTTTTTTTTCATCTGAACACATTTAACTGCCATAACTGCAATATTTACACTCCTCGTTAAAATGTATAGCATATGTGACTGTATGGGTTGCTTTTCGCTGTACTTCATGACACAAATATTATTGAATGTTGTTCTCGATCCATTATGAAACTTGCAGGCATTTGATAGACATGTCCCTCATGCTTCATTTCTTTAATCTGTTAAGGTAAGTGGGCTGTGTGCATTCACTGTGCAATACACTTATTTACATATGTCTGATGATAATACTATGTGGGCACATTTATACATACAGTTTTAAAACTTTTGCAACAACCATAAAGCAAAACTGTAATGTATTTCCCACGTAAAACCGATCCAAAAGGCACATAGGTTTATGCTTTTTTGCATATTAATTTGTTTATAATATATAGCGTGCATTATAATTTAATAAACAGAGAGATTACCTCTTTGTCATGAAGCATATTTCTAAAAATAAGCTTAAAAAGTTTTCTGTAGCAGGGTAGTGCTGACGTCACAGGCGAATGCCCTAAAGACACTAGTCCGTTTATACCCTAATGTTAGCTTTAAGATACAAAAGTGATCAAAGTTGTATTTTCGTGTGAGGATTATCACTTTGCGCCGTGGCGCATGGTCTAAAAGGGTTGAGTTTATTTTCTTAATGAGTTATAGGCGTGTTTTGAGAATAAACCAATCAGAGTCTCATCTCCCATTCCCTTTAAGAGCCAGTTGCGTCGCGCCATAAGTGCATTTGCTATTTACATGACGTAAAGTAAGTGTAAGTGGAAAAACTGAGCATTTCACTATAAAGAAAACACCTAAAACAGAGTATCTACAGAGCGAGAATGAGAGATAAGGCATCTCATAATTCACTTTTGCTCTCGTGGATAGGGAAACCTTGTACACAGACATCAATTAGCCTATAAATAATTAATTTCATTTGTTAAGCGCAAAGATTTGTTTGCAAACTATTTTTTAAATTTTGCTCTAATTGTCAGCAAACGAATAAATGAACAATAATAACGAAGTGTGGTCAAAATACAGAGTTATATCCTAATACACATGCTATGCCCCATATGGTCTAAAACCTCACAGGTGGACAAATCTAAGCTTGTTTTTAATAAAAACAAATATAAATATTTATATAATAAATAGTACTGCTAACAATAATAACATTATACAAAAAGCAAATTGAATAAACTGAAAAGGTCTCCCGAGATGAAGAAGGATTCAAGGCAGTGGTTTTTAAATTTATGTAGGCTAGAAAATTATATGTTTTGTAATATTTTAATCCTTTATATTTACATCCTATATATATATATATATATATATATATATATATATATATATATATATATATATATATATATATATATATATATATATATATATATCCTTATCATTTCTTATATATATCCTTAATATTTAAATTATTTTTCATATGTAAAGATATTTGCATATTGCTCTACATCTTGTGTGTATTAAGCAGTGTGTAAGACCGGTT